GCATCCGTACAAGAAATCAGGAAATAATTACAAGTAATAATATAACAATAATAATGATGATGATGCGCGGATGGAGGGAAAATGGGACGATGGCGCTTTGGGGGTATATATTTACATAAGCGGTGGCACGCACTGGGCGAAAGTAAAAGCGAATCGGAGGTATATGAGCGTTGCAATGGCCAAAAGTAAGCCGTCATCTCGCGTTAGACGCGCCGTATGTGCACGTTGCCCAAGAGAAAACGCAAGGCTACTTTTAGTCCAATCGCCATTGCGAAATGGCACCTTAATTTTACGCGCACCCGTTTGAATGATTTCCCGTCCTGTAACGGTTCCTAAAATCGTCGCGAGCTCTACTTTTAGCCATCCTTTCTCTTTCGTTTACCTTCTCTCCTACTCATTTTTTTTTTTTTTTTTTTTTCACTCTTCGTTCGAGGTAAGGCACAAAGGCCAACCGGGGCGTCTCTCAATGTCTCAATCCGGACGGAAAAAAACCGCTCGCGCCAATAACTTGCATTAGCATATATATATACCGATCGTTGGTCAAACGAGTTTTTCAATACCAAGACCGACTGTTAAAAACCACGCTGGGTTCTTTATTGTAGAGTTTCCCAACAGCAAATACCTGATACCGATTTTTTTTTTTTTTTTTAATTTTGTTTTGTTTTTAAAAGCCAACGCCCATTTAGACCGTAGGTGTATGTTTCTCCGAGTGGGGGGGTATCGCGCCCGCGTTGCAAAATTTCACGAGCCGCGCTCGCTCGCGCATACTCTCTCGTGGTGCGTGACCGCGTGGAAAATTCCGATGCACCTGGCACGGGCCCGTTTCGGGATCCCGGGGCCCAAAGAGACCCACCTCTTCCTGATCGTTCCCTCTGTTTTCGCTGCAGTTGAAAAAAAAAAAAAAAAAAAAAAAAAAAACAAAGGGGACCCGCTTATATAGGAGGCGAAGGCCATCGGCGCGTTTATGCGCGGGACTTTCATGCCACGCGCGCGTGTCCTTCCCTCTCACTTTCCTGGGGCTCAGTCTCGCGGGCGCGCAGTGCGAAGAAAGGGAAAAAAGGAAGAAAAAAAAAACAAAAAGTCGTCCGAGAAGTGCGCTTAGCCCCGGGTGTACGTGTATACATATCATCGGCGAGCCGGACTTGAGCCATTCCGCGTGTGCGAAGCCAGTCGAGCGCTCGAAAAATTACATAAGTGCAGTACATGGCCAGCCTCGACGCCGTAGAAAGCAAAAATATACCTACTTACTTTCTCTATGAAATAGCGACCAAAAAGACTTGCAAGTGGGAGGGGGCTTATGCAAGCCGCGGCTCGCGTCGCTGATGCTTTATTTCGAGCGAAGCGTCTGGATTTGAGGCAGGACCAGATGTGCGGGTAAACAATGTGGGTCCTTGCGAGGGGACAGATATTTTGTTAAACTAATATGTTCGCGTAATTACACCAAGAAAAACAGTTGTACCTCGAAGCGTGAGTATACGCTGTTGTTGAAAGAAAAAAAAAAATAATAATAATTAGCATCTGATTACCTTTCTTGGCACGTTTTAATAATTTTCCACGCGTGCATTCAATATGACGTAGCGAAGATTAACGTTACCCGCGATAGGCATCACATGCGTGCGATCCTTGAGAAAAGGGTGTATTGTGGATGCACTTTGCTCGCGGGTTAATCTGGGAAACGTCTCGGGACAAAACTTTTCATTTAATCTACGTGGAAAAAAAAAAAAAAAAACGTTTCCGATACAGGGAAAATTTTCAAGGTGTTACTCTTTTTTTTATGCACCGTGATTTTTTTTCTGAGAAACGCATGGGTATATAATACGGTACAGCTCTTCCTTCCGCATGTAGAAAGAAACTAGCGCGGCCGCGGTTACGAAACGTTCGCAGTATGGTAACCCCTGTCTGAAAAAATTCTAGTAAATTTTCCCTTGATTTCCAGCGTTTGGCCGCAACGAGCGAGCGCATCGTCAACTTCAAAGCGCGGCTCATCACCTCCATCATCTAGAGACGGATGCCGGGGCTTAAGATGAGCTGAACTATACCTGCACTTGACGCAGTGTAACCCAAGGAGTGTTTTTGCATACACGACAAAGACGGATAATGTACTTAAACGTGAAGAAAAAGGAAAAAAGAAAAAAAGAAAAAAAAGAAAAAAGATCGGCGAGTCTCTCTCGAGTCACGGAATGGACCACGGGAACGACGACGGCAATACGTTTGCGAGTTAGAAAGGGACGATGAAATGGTTTATTTTTATTTTTCTCTGTCAAGGATATCGTCCCTTTCCCCAGTTCCTCCCCTTTTTTTTTCTTCTCCCCCTGCCCTTGAGTGTGTTGCTACTTGTGCCCGCGAGATCCAGATCTGGATCTCGAAAGAGAGAGGATGTGTGCTGCGAAGCCGAGGGCCACTGCAGTCCTCGTTACTCTTCCGTAAATTATACATGTCAATAAATAGGAACTATTTTTTTATTACCTTACCTCTCAATTTTTTTGCCCTTTTTTGGTTTTTTTTTTTTTTTTCATGATTATCCACCTACTTTTCATTTCATTTTCTTGGTCAATTGTATATTTTGTTATTTACTTGCGCGTCTAATTTTGTCGAATCACTCAGGATAATTTCAAGCCTTGCATACTTATACATACTTTAAACTATACAATTTAATTTTTTCTTTTTTTTTTTTTATCATTTTATTCCTGATGGTTCGACAAAGTTGAAACTACGGTTTTTATGCCGAAAACGATACTAAACACTGCCTTATTCTAATGTACGTCATTTATGTGTTGTAAATTTTATTGTGCGCTGTAGGAATGTATAAGCGCAAAAAACTTGTATATAGCCCCGTTTTTTAGATGAAAACTGTGCCAGGCGTTTATTATTTGTTTTAACAAGCTGCAACGACGACACTTTTTTTTTTGAAAAACTTTTGTGCTCTTCGGATATTTAAAAGGTTAAATATTAAGCTAAACTGTTACCATTTTATTGTAGGATTTTTTTTAAATATTATTTTTCATTTCCAAACACAGAGCTTTGACTTTGTCATCGATATATTAACGTGAGGGAATCCTATGACGCGAAAATTGATTGTTGTGTTTGAAAGACACATAATACTTAAGATAAAAGTAAAAACTCCTCAGACACTTTTATTCCTAAAAGGCTGTCGACATGTCTTTACTAAGATGTAGAAACCGCGTTTTTTGTTGAACAAATCTATGATTTAAATTTTTTTTTTTTTTTTTTTTTTTTTTTTTTTTAACTGGTTTTTTGGACTCTTTACGCTTAAGTTGAGTGCTTGAAAACGATACCACGAAAAAAAAAAAAAAAAAAAAAGCGAGTGTGACAAAAGCCATACAAGGTGAATCTCTGTATAAGGTTATTAATAGAAGAGAGAATGATCGCTCAATCCGCGTTATTTTTTACTTTTTTTTTTATTGCAAGGATCACGAAAAAATTGAGATATACCTCTTCCTTATCCTCGTGACATGCAAAACGATAAGTGGTAAAAATTAATAAATTCGAATGATGCTGCGTGTCCAAGGATACTTTGTATGAAATGTTTCATCTACATCAACTTTGTTATTTTTGTAGTGTAAATAAATTAAAATATAATTAGGATGTACAAAACGTGTCTTCTTTATTGATTCTTTATAAAAATTATTTATTTTTTCAAAGCATCAAACATTAGTAGGTAATCTTTAACACCGAGTATTATTCGTTAAATACACTCGTAATGAAATAAAGTATTCGTTCACAATAGTTTGACACGTTGAAGAATCATTTTTTTATCATCATCGATTGAATGAGTCAAGGCCCCTTTTGTTATTATAGAGTATACAAAAATGTTTTACATCATCAGTATTGTAATCAATTCCACCATACAATTATCATCTAGTTTTACATGTCGGAAGACTGTGCCGATAATCAATAGGTCCCTTCACCACGAATTTTAGATTCAAGGCATGACAAACATTACGCGTAAAACACGAGTATAAATACTGAAATATCGTAAACATCGACGTAACATACTTGGCTTAGATATCGTACTAATAAATATATAACTTATCAACACTTGTTTTCAAGACAAAGACATATCTGTCGAGAATAGACTCTCATGTTTTACAGACAATCAACTAATTACAAAGTTAAGGACTTACTATTAGAATTAACTTGAGCGTTTAAATGATCAGCAACCTTTAATTAAACAGTCATGATTTTTGTTTTCATCCGATCTAACTATTCATTACTTGATAAAAAATTATCAGTAAAATAGTAAATCCTTCGTAATCGTTTCGAGATATCCGTGTATCGATGTGTTTAAAATCTTATTAAAATCTTATTGTTATAGTTCCTCGCAAGCATACATAATATTATACTGCAGATTCAATGATGAAAGCTGTACGAAAAATATTATTTAAGCTCGCCATACCTTTCAACGCGATGTAAAATATTTTGTACATTTTATTGTAAAAAATGACATTAGGCCCATGCTAACTCATAAGCTCAGATATGCTTGATCCCTTTCTGATAAGTTAATAAAAAGAAGTAATAAAGAGTCGAATCTACACTTTGGTGTATGACTGCACAGAGAAAAAATTCTGATTCGATGAACATCTTCCGGTTAGTCACAAAGATCATCGGATCAACATGTAATATTAATAATCTTTATACATTATTATGTGCTGTCTCGTACACAACGTGTAGGTAAACTAAAGTAATGTACACCTGTGTTAAACTATACCACGTAACATTGGTATTTCAGCACAGTAACCCGATGACAGGCGCATTTACATAAAAAGTACTCTCGCGAGCAAAACTTGACATCTTCTGTAGGGAATAAAATATTTTTATAGCCATGCCGATCGCATTGTCAAATTTACGAAGCGAAACTTTGAGCGGCCATCCGTAGGCCTGTCCAAAACCACCAACAAACACAGCGTAATTTCACAACTCTTCTCGCGTTAAAAAAAAAAAAAAAAAAAAAAAAAAAAAAAAAAAAAAAAAAAGGACCAACTACACAAACTTGCGCTAAAACAATAACCATCACGTCTCGGGCGAGAGAGGTAGACTCCCATCAGGGAACAAAAAGATCGGGCTCGTCGTAGCAGGAGCCCCAGCGATGGTGCTACGGCGGCGACACGAGCGGCGGCTCCTCCGGTTCCCCCACGTAGACAGGATCACCCAGTCGCACCGTCCCGCTGGAGCAACGCAAGCCCAAATGCACACCCATGACCGGGCTGTCTTTGGTGTACTGCCGCAACTCCGGATCGGCTACTTGCCGATACCTAAAGAAAATCAAGTTATCGGTGATATCAAATCAATGGGCAGTACACACTATTAAAGTGTTGTGTTTACTTTCTCAAAGTTTTGAGGGGCTCGAAGTTGGGACTCTTGACCCCGGTCTCGGGATCGACGGTCGTGAAGACGCACCTGGTGCAGGGCTTGACGTTGCGGAACACGGTGTCGCCGATCATCAGCCAATCCCAGGCGTCCTCCTCGAGAGGCTGAGCCCCCTTGACGACAAAGTTCGGCCTGAAGTTCAAGGGCCCGACCGGCACCTCGAGCCGCGAGTTCAGATCGGCGATCGACGCCTCGTTTTCCAGCGTGTAGCTCGTGGCGTCCGGATACGCCCCCTACACGTACATGAATAATCTTACGGTTTTGCTTCGCCCCTGCGCTGTCAATTAGGGGCCATAGGAACACGCGCGAGTAATTGCACCCGATTGGAGTGCGTGGGAGGAAGAAAAAAAAATAAAAGTTGGATGTTAATCTCCGTCTGTAACTCGCACGCGCTCCGGTTTTTTTGCTTGCAATGCGCCATTGTTATATACAGCCGTCAGCCGGTGGGGCGAGAGAAAAATCCAGAGTCTTGAATAAAACGATGAGACGCGCTTCGAATCGTGCGAAAAAAAAAAAAAAAAAAAAAAAAGTGAAAGAGACAATCACACGCGACTTACCGTGTCGGCGTTCTCGGTGAGGGGGAAGGGCTGGTTGCACTTGCGCACCTCCCGGCTGGGCTTCTCGAGCGGGTAGTAGACGAGCCGGAGTCCAGTGTCCTCCTGGAGGAGGAACCGGGAGAGCCAGCGCGCCACTTCCTCGCCGCAGTCGCAGGCTGGCACCGCTTGGCCCCAGACGGCCGCCCGAAAACGGCCCCTAAGCCGCGCCAGGTCCACCGATACGCTCATCATACCCGGGGCCTTCAGGGTCAGCACCGAACCGGCAAAGCTCGGTGACACCTGCTTGGGAATTCCATGGTGTAGTTTTTTTTTTTTTTTTTTCAACGCGTCGGCCATCTGCTCCGCATTTGTGAAAATAACGCACGCCAGCGAGAGGAAGCAGGAAAAACGGCACCGTCATAATAGCAGCAACTTGTACCGCTATACAGCGTGCATGGCACACTTGCATATGCAACCATGATTACATGTGTACCTAGAGTAGCGCGACTCACCGGCCCGTAAAGAAACACGCGCTCGTGGATATTATATGCGCTACGTCCATCAGAGAGAGAACGACCGGACGGCTGTGCCATTATTTATTATGCGCGTCGGTCACTTGCAGGTGTACTTTTTTGTTTTACAGTTTACCGATTTCTGAAAAGTATGATTATCCTTCCAGCGCAACGAAACAACAGTTAAGCATGTGACATCGGTGTAAAAAAAAAAAAAAAAAAAAAAAAAACACTTTGTTTATCTCGCTCGAGCGTTGGAAGAGATATACCGATTTTTTAGTTGCTCGACGGAATAAACTTTTTGTAGCTTCGTTTGTTCGTTGCGCAACCACGTACGAGGAAAACGAGATTCGCTGGTTTGTTTGCGCGTCAAAGTATCAATGTGCACATGCAGGGAGAAACGAAACGGTTTACCTGGACCATTTTAGGGAGCTGTCGGCCGGTGACGAACTGCCCGTCGAGGTCGATGACCATGAGGGTGCGATCCCTCATCCAGCCGGACTTGAGGCCCAGCTGGGTGCACTCCATCGAGTGGAGCCTCACCGGGCCGAGGCTTTTTACCGGGTAGCATATGAGATCGCTCAGCTCGCCGATTTTGCGCCACTTGTTGGGCGGCCGGTACCTTTGGCGCCTGGTCCACCACCACCAGACGAGGACCACCGCCGTGCCGGCACCCACCACCGCTGCGCTCACGTACGCCAATCTCGTCCGATCTGCTGAAAATCGGCAATTTACGTATATTTGCTTTTTTTTGGAAGTGGTTGCCGGGGCTAAGTGATTTTATTTTTGTCGTAGAAGCTTCTGCTCATGAGAGGAAGAGAAAGCGAGTGCCGGATGTCTCGAGCTCTTGTCAATTGGTCTCGTTCGAGCGGAGGAAAAGTAGGTGATCGGTTTCAATCAACCATATATACCCACGTAAGTATACGGAGGTATGGTTGATTGCAATTGAATAACTATGAGGTGGTAAAAAAAAGATTTTTTTCGTTGAATTATGGGATCGGTAATTTTAATACTTTCGGAAAAAAGTTTTTCTTTTTCTGATAAGATGGAGAAAAATTTAATCGTATCTTTCCTCGGCTCGGAACGATGAATTTATTACACGTATGTGGACACCGTAACAATAGGGTATAGTGAAACCGATTTTTTTTTTTTTTTTTTTCAACGCAGGAGTAACAATAATGAGTTTCTCTCGGTAACTCATTTGTCATAAAAATAAGAATCAAAGGAAGAGCTGAATTTTTTAAGATTTGAATTTTTATTGCACTGTATTATATGGTATCACTACTAAAATAAAAGTGCAAAAAATGTGAGATAAAGCAGTGCGAATCAACTATCAGCGCTTTACAAGCATTTCGTCATTTTTACTATCTTTGTAAAGCTTATAGATGTTAGATAACAAAACACGTACGTGCTTGCACACAAGTAAAAATATCATTATCCGAACTACATCATTCGCGTATTACAGCCGAGTAACGCAGTCAACTGGAAATTATAATAATAATGTATATAATAAACTTCGTTTGAATAAGGTATACTATTATTTTTTATCATTTCTTCCAACGAGAGCAAAATATAAAAATGTTTGCACGCAAAACTCAATAAATATATATACAATCTTACCCATAACGACGACCGAAGGAGCGATTATACAAGAGCAGCCCCGAAAATCTCAGCCGTAGTCTAAACTAATTGCAAAACCGGACTCCCCGACGACACAATGGCACCATCACCTCTTCCGGGATTTACAAAACCAGAGTACAATATACACCCCGAAGATGCTTGTGCGAAATTTTGGAGTCCAGCCAAAAATATCCGCGACTCCAAAGATACACACTATTTCCAGCAACGAGTATAGGTACACACGCGTGTGCCGTCCGCCAAAGTACTACGAGCTAAGATATGATTCTTCAGAGAGCCGCCTCGTGTCTGTTGCTCCAGCCATGCGTATAGCTATATATTGTCCATACGTACCCATATATCCGCGGGGGGCACACTCCTCCTACTCCTCCCGTAATATACGTACACACGCGAATACCCGAGCAGCATCAGCCGTCCCTTTTTCTCTCCTTTCACGCGACTCTTCCTCTCCTCCCCTACACTCGGCCCATTCTTCTTCGTTATATCTTATTTCTCAAAAAGAAATAAAGAGGATCAAGTGTGATCCGCCGTCGCAAGTATACCCCGAGCTCTCGAGCTGCCACCTCGAACCGTACCGCAGGGAGCAATGGAATATGACAAAAGTGCCATGCGGCTTATACGATACTTGGCGCCCCGTATGGGCTTTACCTTGAAGAGGAGCGCGTCGCTGTGTTGTCTCCCATACAAAACATCTATATATATATATGTGAGCGAGCGCAAAAATCGATTGCGCGCTTTTCGACGCCACCCCCTTGACTCCTTGTACATGGGGGTGCAAGACTCGATGGTGGTGTACATTGGATGCTGGGGGAAAGCAATGTTATAGTTATCGATTTATTCATTTTGGACTATGGAGATCGGTAAGGTAATATGCCCTACTTATTTTCCGTGAAATTGATTCTTGCCTTGAAAAACAAGTCAGAGTTGTACGTAGGTTTTTTTTCTCCACGATAATTATACTCTGCACAAAGAATGTAATTGTTTTCGAGGCTCCGTCGGTAAGGCGTTGATTTAAATTTCCCGCTTAAAAGTCCCCTGCGCGCGCATACTGCACCTTATATATATATACACACGTCCAGACGACAAACAGTCGCGACCGTTAGCTCAGCCGCGCGCGGTGTGATATCATTGTTGTTGTCTTCCTGCACCCTTGACTCCCTTGAGAGACTTTTGACTGATGCTTGTTGAATTAAAAATTTCAATTGAACGGAAAAATGCACGATAATTGAGTGAAGTAGGTGGTAGTGCGTGTTAAAGTATAAAATTCGAGTGGGAAGAAAACGTGGCAATGAACAGGAAAGCCAGTGACGATCCCAGACAAGTACTGGCGATTTTGAATTCCTTGGGGGTCGTTGGTGTCACCGCCCCCGAGTTGAAGGCGTTTATGAAAGGCAAGTGTACTTACTTGAATTGTTGGGAGAGTTTCGTAAAAATTAAATTCAGGAGGTGTCAAGAAAGCAATGATTGTTTGTTGTCGTTTTCTTTTGCAGAGTTGAAGTTGTACAGAAAGATAAAGGAGCACGAGAACGATCAGTGGAAGGAAGAAACGAAGGCTAAAATACTGGGCAGGTACGAGCTGTTGGAGATTCACAAGACAAATTCACACAAGCCGTGTGCTTTGCAAAACGTTGCGTTGAACAGGCAGGAGAGAAAGAAAACTAAAAGTGACAAGTCACAGAAAAACTGTTTGGAAATAGTGATTGACAGAAAGGCCAAGCGCAGTGTTGGCCAGAACAAAGAAAATAACGTGGAAAAGGCGATATCGACTCTGGCGATATCTTTTGAAAAGTGTAAGACTCGGACGCCGCAAAAAAATTCGGAAAAGACTTGTGCCAAGAAAACGGACAAGGTTGAGGCGCGTCCAGCTAGCGCCCCACAGACCGAGTCTAAAGCTGTCGAAAGGCCATCTCGCCAAAGAACGAAAAGCTTGACTTCCTTTGAATCAAGAAGCCAATCAAAAATGCGATTGCGCTCCAGATCTAAATCTTGTGAGTAATTTTACGTTGTTAACTCATTAGTTTTTTGTAATTTTTAACTGATTATCTACTGTTTTACAAAAGTCATCAGATCTCCGCAATCTAGACAAGAGTCAAGATCATCATCGCAAACGAGGAAGGGACCGAGTGATCCAGTAGCTCTGTACAACAAGTACAAAAGTATCTGGGATCAGTTGTCACTTCCTGGTGAAAAGACCCATGCAAAGTTGAGATGGGCTGTGCGTGAGAAAATGCTAGGCTCTGAACCATATCCAAAGGTATCTACTGATTGACATGTATATTGACATTAATTAGTTCATGTATTAAAATATCGAATATTTTTTCAGCCAGTTGTAGAGTACAAAAGGCCACTACGAACACTCTCCAAGGGTAGAAAAAAATAATGTTGGATTCCAAAAGAAAACTAGATATATTTCAATATGATAATAAATTTAATTGTTTTATTTACACAATGTACAAAGAGTGTAAGATATAAAATTTAAATATAGACGACGGTTAAGTATTTAACAATGACTGACCTTGCTTGTGATGATTCTTAGTGTAAAAATCTTATTTTAATTTGACATAAACTTAATTATATTTAAGTTTACTTTTTGTTTACCTGTAGAGGATCCATTCTATTGAGGTGATAAACTAATTTGTCTTCAATAAGCCTGGCAGCACTTAGAGTTAAAACTAATGTATCGTGTTTTAACATGCTGTAAACGTTCAAGCCTGAAATGTTTTTTTTAATGTATTACTTGATCTTTAAAACATTTAAAACAGAAAAATAGAAAAACGCTCACCATAGACAGGCATCAAGTTGAAATGTTTGATAGAATCAACTGCCATTGCCATGTTCTGTGGCATAATGTCGCTGCTGTCAACAAACAAGACAGAGGGTCCCCAACTCCTTGCCTTGGCTAGTTCTTGGATGAATTCAGGATCATCGGTCGGCAGTTCCAAGTCTGGCACTATGTGCATATCATCCTGAGCCAATTTGACAGACAGTGTGGCTTTTAAGCCCATAACTCGCGTATAGAAGGGCAGCATGTAGAAGTAAGGTGTTGGCGATCTAGGGCCGTGCACAACTCCACCTTTGCGCCACAGGGGCGACCTGATGCTGCCATGTCGAGCTTTACCCAAGCCCTTTTGGGGCCATGGCTTGCGACCTCCTCCTCTGACTTCTGCGCGAGTTTTGGTGTTTGCGTACGACTGAAAAAAAAAGTGTAAATGTTACTTGAAGAAAGAGAAATAACATTAGTTATTTTACCACGATTGGGACTCACGACAAAGCGATAGAGCTTTTGCCAGCGGACGTTTGCGTGAATGATGTCGATTCGCGGCAGAGCTCCGAATATCTCCGGGTGCAGTGTGACGAGACCAAGCTTCTTTTCCTCAACGGTGTCCATGTTTTCGAGCCAAAGTTGGCGTGGTTTGAGGTAAAATTTGTGCTCGTCCAGGTACGACTTTGTCGAAATAATCGGCTCGACGTCTGTCTGATACGTGTACTTGGACTCCAACGTTGGAGGCCGCACAGCCTCGGAATGATCGGTTTCGATTGTACTGCTGACTTTTCGGATGAAGGGCTGCAGCAGCTGCAGCTTTGGCAAGCTCTTTCGGAAAAAGAGCGACATAACGTCGTCCGGCACTATTTTTTTTCACTTTAATGTTTGTGTTATTGTTTTCCTAACCTTAATAATGAGCAATGCGGTGCGTCGTCGTCGACGACGAGGGCTGTATTCCTGCGAAGTGTGTGTGTCGTCTGCGCTGAGGTTGCAGCGCTCGCAGCGCGGTAAATTCAACGAATAAATAACTTATTTTCAAAGTATCTCTAAGTAAATGGTTGAAAAATGCTTTTTGATAATCACTAATAATACGAATTTTGTAGGATTTGAGTTTTTACTTCAGATAGTGCAAAATTATTAGTTTATTTAGAGTACAATCAGTTAAAAAAATACAAGCGCAATCCAAGTTACATGTACAGTGCATGCAAATTAACATATCCATATATGTATACACACAATTCTTTATTCTCAGCTGAGAGATATAGTCCATGCAGCGAAACGTCAGTCAATCGTGATAAAGATCAGAGCCATGATCAGAGCTTGTTTTTTATGTAAATCTTTTTAGTTTGTTGGATCACCTCTTGTGTGATGCATTTAAGTACTTACATCTCACGTTACCAAGTGTCATAGCTTACGTATTCGTGCTAAGCACTGCTCGTTTTTGTAACGCAATAAAGTGGGTGTTTTCATTTCTAAGCTGTGAGTTCAATTGCTGTTTTGCATTTTCTCGAAAGCTATAAGAATATGCATATGCACCTAATGAGCAGATCAGTTGGTGCTTCTAACTGAGTACTCTAGGAGGCTATTGTAATCAAGGAGCAGCAAAGAAGGCTTTCAGTTTGTTGCAAGTGCAGTGCACATATAGTACAAGTAGTGCATACAACCTTATAAGTACCTACTTGCTCTTTTAGAAACAGTTTTTGCTTATTGCCCCGAAAAAGTAATTGTTGGTTGTGGATCGACGTTCGCAGCTAAGCTCAAGGTGAGTCACTTCTGTTGTAGCACCGTGTAATCAATGTATGATTGAACGATTGCACCTCAGACGTTTGTCCAACGTTTTTTAAAAATAGTTATGAAAGCGAGAAAAATGACAGTGCTGAGGTTAAAAAGTCATATAGAATGATTGTTTATTCGTATTCGGCGACTGTCAGTGACGTCGTCCTATATACATGATTCTTTTGTTTTTAATTTTTATTGTTATTACCTTCCTATATTACTAGGATTGTACAAGTATGCCAAGTTTTTTTGTAACTATGAACTATACATCAGGGAAAAAAAAGTATGAAACTTGAGATGTTATCTGACTCCAGCATACGTGTGTTGCATATTGATGAAAAAAGTACATGCACTCATGACTGTGGTAAACATTTTTATCTCCATAGTGTGAGGGTTTAGTGTGTATTGTGTGTGTATGTATGCTTGCATGAGTGACTGCTCAAATAAAAAATAAAAGACAAAAATCAGTTCTGTATGTATTATCTCTCAATATATTGAAATGACGGTTGATTTTTTTTTTCTTTGCAGAAGCAATCATGCCTCTTTTGTACTGCGTTGTTGCAAGGGGGAACACGGTGCTTGCCAAGCATGCAGCCTGTGCTGGAAATTTTGAGGAAGTTACTGATCAAATTCTTGCTAAAATACCACCCCAGAATGACAAGATGACGTACACTCAAGGACCCTACTTGTTCCATTACAGTAGTGAGGATCAAATAGTTTACATGTGTATAACAGATGATGTAAGTTGGTTAAAAACGTAACTTTTTTTTTATAAAATACATCTCAAAGACTATTTTTATAAACGATGCAATAACTTTTAGGATTTTCAAAGATCAAGAGCATTCCTTTTTCTCAATGAAGTCAAAAGAAGATTCAAGACTATGTATGCTGATGGTGCTTTGACAGCATTACCTTATGCCATGAATACTGAATTTGGTAGAGTCTTAGCCAATGAAATGGTATGTTGAAACGTAGCAAGTTGTTGAATAAAAAACAAACAAGTATGCTTTCGTGAAATTTAACCAAATTTTTCTTGTTTACAGAAACACTACAGCGAATCCAAGGACCTGGATACAATATCCAAAGTTCATGGAGAGTTGGATGAATTGAAAGATATCATGGTTAAAAACATTGATAATTTAGCTATGAGAGGAGAGCGTCTAGAACTACTTGTGAACAAGACAGAAAATCTTACCAACAGTGTAAGCTATTTACCTCAGTTTTGTTTATTTTTTTTTACTTGAACTCATTTCAAACACAAACATCTTTTTTTTCAGTCTGTGAATTTCAGAAAATCCAGTCGCAACTTAGCCCGATCGCTATTTTGGAAAAGTGTTAAGATGTACGTCATTATAGCTTTAGTTTTGATCGTAAGTACCAAAAAATCTTTCTCTTCAATCGCTAGCTTTACAAGATGAGCTACAAAAATTTCTATTTTTTTAATTGCAGTTTGTTGTGTACATGATTCTCGCATTCTTTTGTGGTGGACTAGGATTATCAAAATGCGTGGCTAGTAATTAATTTTTTCCATAGTCATATAGCGTCTCATCATTACATCAATTGCTTGCTGATTTCGGTCGTGTTAATCCAGTATGGTATAGAAACATCAATTACACATGTAAAAGAAGTGAGAGCGAATTTAATTATGTGAAATTTTATATAAAGACGAAAAAAAAAATTTGCGTAGCGTAAGAAAGAGGGAGAAAAAATTGTAAATATGTTATTTTATGCGAATTGTTAATAATAATAATGTATTAAACGTCGGCTTAAGTTGGAGTGGGCACTAGTATTGTTGTCAAAAAAGCTCGAAAATTTTAATTTTTACTCATGAATTCCTTAAATTTTGATTTATTGAAATTGAACTGATTGATTATTAGTCTTTGAAAAACCTTATTTAGCTAAATGAAATCAGTATCTTTATATATTTGTACGTAATTATTTTTATTATACTCTTGTATTAAAAACGTTGTATCGACATGTTGACTTTTCACTATTTTACCCTGATCTATTAAAAAAAAAAAAAAAAAAAAAAAAAAAAACCCTCAAACGTTGTCTACATAATGAAACTACTTGACTTAAAGTATCCCAACGATTCCGTAAAAAAAAAAAAGATTATTCAAGCGTAGAACAAATGTTTGACAATTTTAATTGACTGAAAGGAGAGAACGAGTCGAGGTACGCATGGGAAACCAATCAAAACCCATATTCCTCCCCCGCGAACGACAAAGGTGCCAAACAAGCTTCACCATACAGCCGACCCTCTCGAAGCTTTGATCTGCGCGCCGACGACAGCGTGAGCAACAACAAGACAGAGGGAAGCGAAAAAAAACAAGGAGAAGAGGGTATAGTGGAGAAGCCAAAAGACAAAGGCGGGTAGTGCACGGGATCGGTGGCAATTTATCGGAAAAAAGGGCGAGCTTGCACCGCCTTTCCGCGCCATTAGCCAACGATACATGTATATATACGCACCCCCAGCTATGTACCTTATACGGGAGAGAAAGCGACAACACGGCCCTCTGCTTTCCCTCCCTGTGGTACCTATGTTGTATGTATAGGTGTATCGCTGGTCCAACCCAACGGGCTGTGTATGTGGTACAGACGCCCTGAGGGCCGCGTCGCTTCCTCCCTCGCCGATGCCACAAGGTTTCTACCGCATCTCCACCTATCGGTTGTGTGCGAGACGGTGTTGCGGTCTTTGAAAATCTTATCGGTCGATCGTCATCTCGACACAGAGGGCTACTCCATACCCAGACCCCCCATCATATCACCGCTGGGTCTTGATTTTTTTTTTTTTCTCTATAATCGTTATTGTTACGTCCAATTAAAACAGCTCTTGTACATGGGTATGGGAGTAAAAAATAACAACTTCACTCTGGACACGTCCGGATGTTCCATTCGATTTTGTTTCGTTCCAAGGGAAAGAACAAAAAGCTCGCCCGGGGAGCATCCAGTGCGAAAGCTATGGGGGGAAAAAAAAGAAGATACGAGCCCAGTTATTTCTCTCCTCCTCGTTATTAATGCGGCCTGAAATGCAAATCTCGCGCGCCGGCAAAGTTTTCCCCCCCCTCCCCCCCTTTTTTTCCCTGTCTTTCCACCGTTTCGGAGTACAGGGTTTTCTCCCCCTTTTTTTTCTCAACCCAACGAGGTTTTCATTGAGTCCACCCGCTCTCCAGATCCAAATCCACAAAAAAACGTCCCATTTCGATCGAGCAAATTTCCACCGCTTGGAGTGATCGTATCTAGATCATCCCGATCCCAAGGGTTACACCCACTACTTACTCTTATACACGTAGTATAATGAATACACACATAATCATATGTATTATTGTTTATTAACCGATACTTGGCAACATGATTAACGTTTTTTTTTCCAACCCCCTACATATCGTCGACACAATGTTCCGAAATAAGTATACACTTATCCCAGGAGGAGAAAGTCATTTCAAAATCAATTTACCCAAAGCTCCTGTATATGTATATATGTATGCGCGTAGGCGTAATCGACGTCTCCAGAGGGACCACAGCTCGTGTACCTACTCTCGGGGCCCTCCCCCGGAATCTATCTTGGGCGAGGAACATCAAAGCGACAGTCAAACCCAAAAAGAAGAAGAAGGAGGAAACCGAGACGGAGGGGAGTATAGGACACGACGAAGAGAGGAGCCGCATCTTCCTCTCCTCTATAAAAAGCTCGTACCTATATATACACACGTTCCCCATGTGTATACTCTGGTATTCGGACACTTAATCATCCACGGGCGCGATGAGGGACCCCTTTTCCCTCCGAAAACGATCGCTCGACCCTTTAGGAAAAAAGAAAGAAAGAAAAAAAAAAAAAATCCCCTCGATCCAATGAATACATGTATGTATAGTTTCTAAAAATAAGTAAAAAACCACAGAGAGAGAATACATGGTTGACCGACTCCAAAGGTGATAGCTCACACCTGCCCGGGAGTACCGTCGTATGGAAGGGGGTGAAGCGCGAAAGGAAACAAACACGCACCCACAAGCAGCGGCTCGCGTCAGCCGGAGGCGACACACGGCGGATCAACACCCACCCGCTCAAAAAGCTCGTTACCCCTTAGAAGCCACCTATGGGCAACCCCCGAGACCTACAGGGCGTGCCACGGTGTATAGTACACGCACCCTCCCCCACCCCCGATGCAAAATACACCAGAGTACGGGGGTCGGAGGGTAAGAAGCTTCCCCCCCCCGGCTCTGCTTCTGTTGGGGTAAAGGAGGAGGAGGATGGGGGGGGGTGTGTGAAAGAGATGACAAGTATACGCGTACCGCGGGGGTGCGCTGAAGTCGCGCTCGTACGTGCGTGTGCGTCGTACACCACGCAGCCCGGGCCATTTCGGGCTCGCGCGTCTCCCCAACCGCGTCTCGCAGAGGAGCGGGACGCCCTGCAGGCAGTAACGGGCGCGCTGGCAAATGTCGCCGGCCGATACCTCGTCCCCGCGGTCCGGCCGATCAACAAGTCCGGGCGTCCCTGGAAACCAATGACAAAGGGCCGCTCCTCGATCCTCCCGAACCCATGTTCCGCGGTGCCGTGTCGTTGGGCACCGGATGCGTGGTGATGGTGAATTGTGGTGGTGGTGGTGATGGTGCACGTGCCAAGTCGCAAGCTCCACGAGAGCTTTGCGCTGCCCTTTTGGTACACTTTACGATTATAATATTATGCCGTATACTAAACGCGCGCACGTGTGTGGATGATATACTTTACTCGCCGGTTTGTTTTCGTTGGGCCGCCCACTCGGCTCGGTTATTTTTGCTCTTTTCGGCCTCCCCCCGTACACGCTAAGCCTGTCTTGTGGCCGACGAGGAAGAAGAGGAAGCTGCGTGCACGTCGGTGAGTTTTCGAGGAACGACATATAGTACAAACGCCATTTACGTGCCTGTATTATAATTATATGTATGTATGTATGTATATTGGTTGTGGTGCGTGCGAGGTGAGAATATAATAACGCGAAGCTCGCAGAGTGAAAATTAGTTAAGGGGGAGAGGGGAAGAGCTTTCGGTGCGATGGTGTAATTGTTGTTATTCGATATGCAAATGAGCAATCGATCGTTGGGGCTTTGACGGGAATATTTTGCGGAGCTTTAACTCCTGTGTAATATGTGTATATACATGTTGCAATGCGCTGGGAGAGGTATTTTTTTAAGTCGAACCAAGGGTATACACATGTGTTGGCGAGGTCGAGGGGCTACGGCGGAGCTTTTCTTTGAGAGAAACGGCGCGCATTTATGGGGTGTCTCGAGAAAGTCAAACATACGTTGGAAGGATGATTGCACGGGGTTTTTTTTTCCTAAAGGTTTCATCGTAAACGTTGAATATTGACGAAGCTTTCGAGTTTGCTCTGGCCATTGTCCATTTTAGTATCCTTTTGGGGAGGAATTGCGACTGATGCGTTACCAATATTGGAATTTGGTGCGTTGCGATGAAATTTTTTTGTTTCTTCTTTAATTTAGTTTGTGACACACTCGTAATCAGTTGGGCACGACGTTTCCCGCGTCTATCGAATTAAACGTCACAAACGGGGCTTGAGGTGTCTATTCTATTACACCCTTGATTGGCACTCGCTTGATTCGCCATTTACGCGACGTACATTTCACTGCCATTCGCCCAACGCGCGTACACGTATATGCAACTGGAGCCTAAGTTTACCTATACACGGAGTTGTCAATGCTGTCGCACGAATATACCAACTGAATGATTTAAAAAATTCTATGTCCATTCAGACGTTTTCTTCTACTGTTTGTCGAGGGTATATTTACTTTATACTTGGCTCGAGGAGATTTTCGATGCATCAAGTAGTCGTAGAAAAAAAAAAAAAAAAAATTGTAGCAGAGCTCCATCACTCTTCAACCTTTAAACCACTTGAATGGCTTTTTTTGCTCTCAATATTTTTTTTTTAGTGTTTGTGAATTTCATTTGTAAGTTAAAAAAAATCATTCTCTTACAGAGAGAATACGTATGTTGAATAATCAAATGACGTTACACGTAACACGGGGCACCGAAAAGCCCGCTCTTTTTTTAACCGCATCGCAATCAATTGCATTTTCCAAACGATATTCCACGGGGAAAAAAAAAAAAATTCCTTCCATCGAGCAACCGGATGGAAACATGTATAGCGAGCGTGTCTAACGAGAGTTTGCGTGAAAATTGATGAAATCAGCGATGTAAACAACAACAGCAGTACGGGACCGTAAAACCCCCAAGATATATATTGTCGATGCAACGAGAGCAGAAAGAGAGAGAGAGAGAGAGAGAGGAAGGGCTGACAAAGGCACGTATACACACACACACACACATGTGACGCCCATCCGGGGTGGCAAATTGCTCCTCTTCGGCTTTCTAATTCGATTCCGATGACATGCGCGTCGTCGCCGGCGGTTCCTCCGGCAATTAAGTTCCGTTGCCGGCGTGTCGTCGTTACAGCCACACCCCTTCCACGTATATATGAGCACGCACTGGTGGGTAATACGTCAGTTTTTCTATGTGGGTGCCTATACACAGATTTAAGCGCCGATAAGCTTCTTTTTTCAAGCTCACGTACCTGTACGTGCCGCCGCTCGGGCTTTGAATTTCGAGAACGGAAGTTCCGATGAATCGCCTCCGCGCGGGTGAATTAATTCGGAGGATTTGACCTTTGAAAGGGATGATCTTTACGATAAGGATTTCTTAAAGGTGCTTTAGAGAGATATGTACGGGTGACGAGCACGAATGACCCGGAAAAATATGAGTGCACGAAGGTGCGGGTGGATGATAATCATGAGCGCAGGGAGAGAGAGAGAGAGAGAGAGAGGGTAAATGACGCGTGGGGCTCGGTGCGCCATAATGCGACTCCCCCTCGGCTCTTCCTTTCTTTCTTTCTTTCTCCCGCGTTTTCCCAAAGTCGTCCCCAATAACCTCCATTTTCTCTCTTTCTTTCGTTCCGTCGCAGATGAGAAAGGAAAGGGGCGGGGGGGAAGCCTGCGGGGCTTGACACGGTCTTTCTTCGTGGAAGGGCGCGTGGCTTGTAAAGATGGCTCGAGTCTGCTGAGCTTTTTCAGAACTTTTTTTTCTTTTCCTTTGCCTGTACTTCGTGATTGGCTGCTCATGCATTGCATTGCAGCGAGCTCAGAGAAAATGAGGGCTGTCGGGAGGAAAAATGCGCCAAACGCGTGTGTGGGCTTATCCGCTGTGCTCGAGCTTGCAAGCACAGATTTCAATTAGTGCATGGTCCAAGTTTACTTTTAAAGTTGCAGGTGGTTAAAAACTCAGAGTTGTTGTGTTATAAGTATACAGTTTGAAAAGTATAGTGAAATTAGTACAGCAGTTGCAAAAATTTTTTGTTGAGCATGACTTATTTCATGTGTATAATTTATCTTATGAGATAATAATTAAAACATTATTGCTGGTATTATCTACTTATAGTTTTTAGTGTCGTAAAAAAATACCACGACGCACAGTAACCTTATTGTCTTCCCATCTCCACTTTGTTAACAAACATAATATAATTACCTAAGTGGGTGAAATTTGTTATCATACGAAAAAAACTTTCATGCAATTTTGTATAAGTTTATTTGTTATGCAAACTCTACTTTACTTTCGTGTTTAAGTTGCCAGTTAATATTTTCGTTGGGTTTTACGTAAACAACACAATTAATAACTTTTTTTTTTTTTCACATTTTTTAGCTTTAAACGTTTTACTGAAAAATTCTTTTAAACGATACTTCAGTAACTTAGCGATAGGCTACCTGAGCTTTGAAATGCAGTTGCCGTTTTGTTTGTGATAAGGTTACACAAAAAAAGAACACGAGTATAAATTAATGATATATAAAATAGTAAAAAAAAAAAAAAGAAAAATCATCGAATAAACTCTAAACTATTCTCTACTTTCAATAAATCCAGGCTCGATTGGCGCTAGAGATGCCCGAGCAACAAAATGTCAAAAACAAGCTGCACCGACAACAACAGCCCGAAGCAGAGAGGCTGTGAACAACAACGGAAACGCGGCACGAGGCAGCATCGACGAATGAACCCGGCAGGTATTTATCCGATGCATCAATGCCCCCCCGAGAGCTTTTTCTACCCCCACGTTTTTTCACGAGCCATCGAAAAACTCGGGATGGAGTATAGGCATTGCTACGGACGCGTTTGGTATAACTTTTCGATCACGTCGGCTAATGACTTTCCGAACCACGTACGTACACCGATCGAATGACTATATCGCAAACTTATTCGATCAACTTCCGTATAACCGACATTCCCCTCGAGTTAACTGCGTACGATCGGTACGAGAGAGAAAAACGAAGCAAGAAACTCATAAGCAACCGATTTAACAGTAAAACTGTAGAGCGCAGCTCTTTCCCAGCTCAGTGGAAGTATGTTGGTCGATGCCTCTACTCCGGAGACGTGACTATATATATACATGGTTCATTAGACGGTCGGTTCACGGGCAAAGTGACTGGCACTACCTACAATGTACCGAACGAAAATCGAGCGTCCAGCGGAATCGGATACTCTCGCTGATGATCATTAACACGCGGGAGCACGATAACCGAGCAACGGAGCTTTCATTATTAAAGCCAAACTGCCGAGTTGGTTTATAACGTTTTCCAAAGCTCCAAGCTTGCATGAGAAACCACCCATTATGCTATCGAAAACGTCACCAAGCCCTGGCTATTTGTTATTGTCTATATAAAACCTTTATCCACTCGCTCCTTTTATGCGCGTATCACTCGTTGGATTCTTTGTGTTTTGTCACTTTCGCGTTTCGCTAACCCTTTTGAATGGAAAACGTGTACGCACCCGATAAGAGGAGCCGCGGCGTCGATTTAGTTTTCGATGAATTTCCCGTTGATGCGTATGCTATTTTCCATCGGCGCATATCGAGTGTGTACATGAGGTATATGCGGTGGTTGTTGGTAAAAACATAAGGTATATACGGTGCCATAAAAGCTGTGAAAAATATCGTCTCGCGACTTTTGATCTCCTCGAATCTCAATTAAGAGCCGTGGCACGTCTCCCCTCTTCCACCCTCCTCGGTGGGCGTAATATTCCACCCGGCAACTTTTTTTTTTCCATCCATCTTCGAGCAGCCCTCTCCTGCCCGTGTATCGGCTCTTTTTTTTTTTTTCCTCCCCGTCTCTCTCGGTTCGGTCGCATTCGTACACCTACACCCGCGTTGGCCTTTTATTTTAGCGACTCCGGGGCTTGACTGAAATTGTACGTGCGCGTCGAAAAATTGAAAGTTTCGAGTTTTCCCAACCCCCCGGTTTGGAAAGAGGAAGGAGAGCAGGTGCGAGTTGCGCGAATGTCATTTGATTTTTTTTTATTTATCATTTTTTTTTTTGCTTCAATGCATCAAAGTGCAAATGAACGCACAATGCTTAGCTTCGCTGCCGTTTGCCCCGAGTAATTGGTGACTCTGATCGGCAAGTCAAATAATCGCAATCGCAAGGACGAGGTAAAAAAAAAAAAAAAGGGAAAATCCTTAACAACACCAAATCAGAGGAGGCAGGAGCCGAAGGGGGCGAGTCCTGATTTCGCATTAACAGTACGGGCACGCGAGGCGGAACCTATATACATGTACGCACTATGTACAGACGATAAAACCGAACGATAGTCCCGTAAATCAAGAAGCGAGCGCATATCGCCTCTTAGCCCCCCCCCCTCTCACGAGCGAGGGTCTGACCGTACGCGGACGTAACTACTGAATATCGTCCTTCCGACCGAGGGAGCGAGTTGCACAGCTTCCCCTCCCCCACCCCGAAACCCGGTTGTGGGGCACTTTTACCCGTGGCATGGAAAGAGGGAAACCCGCAGGGCTGGGATTGTTCCTTTTACCGCCAACTTTAAAAACAAAGGGATTTCCTTACAAAGCATCAGCCTTGATTAATTACCAAGTATTTAAAAAATAAATAAATAAATAAAAGTAGCACATTCGTGTACAACTGGTTGTCTTTTTTTTTTCGCAGACGCAGATCGAGCCTTTTTAAGATTCCCCACGCGTTTGGGGGAGGAAGGCACGGCCGAGCCCTAGCCGCCCCTACGAAGCGGAGGAAACAGGAAGTGAGAGAGAGCCGAGAATCACCCCGCCAAGAGGAGTTTAGGGCGAATAGGGGAAGATGGGCGAGAGCTCGCCGGATCTGAGTCTTCGGCTGCGCCGAGGCAGCTCGGACTCCAGGGACTCCTTCTACATGGACTTTGCGCAGGTAAGCCGCTTCTCTCGGGCTCGAGTGTATACGTTCGCGCGAGTCTGTATGCGCCCATCGTGTCTGGAATTTCAATTACCGCGATGAACTTGGCCAAAGCTCGTATATACTTTTTCCTCTGGGACATTGGCATCTGTGTAGGACACACCGAACGTTACTTGATGGTAATTTTTTTTTTTCCACGATGACTGTATACATTGCACTCGGGGGCATGGATAGCCGGGCTTTTGTTTACCTGGGCGCTCGAGTGGTGGCAAAAAAGCGACGTAATTGACTCCCAAGCGGGTATTGGACGCGGACCCAAACACCTCGAGTTTTCCCAACTCCCACGGGCCTCGATGGATCCATATCTCCCCTCGTCTCATTTCGAGGGAATCCAATCCACACCCTTGCGGGGAAAAAAAGAAAAAAAAAAAAAAAAAAAAAAAAAAGAAGTTTTATCCCTCTCCTCTCTGTTTTTGCGATGCATGGATGTGAACGAGGGTAAACATTTTATTGTACAAACGTTCCCCAAGGGGATAGACTCGGACATCGAGGAGGTGACGAGGCCAACGGACAACCTCGACGGATTGGTGCCGGAATCTCTCGACGACAGCACCAACGAGGTGTTGCCGATACTCGCCGAGGACATATCCACGATACCCGAGGAGGCGTCCGAGGAGCTGAGACTGGAGGAGGAGGCCGACGCCATCGAAGCAGCCCTCGCTCGCGCTAAAGAAGCCTCCGGCATGAAGAAAGAGAAGGACAAGGACAAAATCACCGTGGAGTGAGTATTTGGGCTTTGTTGGTTGCACCGAATCCTCATTTCACTTCGCCCATCTAGTATACACACTCAATTTTTCAAACAGCAATCTCGACTGTATGGACATATATGTACATGTACGTATATTCTCGCTTGTAGAAGCAATCATTTCTCTCGACTCGGTCCCGTACTTATCTCGTGGCAATCATGAAGCGTGTGTATGTATGTACCTCCGTCTCTGTCGGGCGCGAATTAAGAGGCGCGCGTATCGCTCGAGTTTATCGGAGGGGCCTCCGCGCGCAACCCGTGGCATTAGTTACATCCGCGACATTGCAGTGTCCGAAAGTGAGAGCTTCGGTCGCATCGAGCGACATGTCACGCTGAAGCTCGACGGAGACGACACATCGGCGGCTATGCTCATCAAGGAGACGTCGGTCAGGTAACTTGCGATTTTGACCCCTGTACGGACAAAACAAGCGTGTGAAATATTTCCGCTTCTTTTGTCCTTTTGTAAAAAACAATAAACGATCGCGCGAGCCCCTTCCCCGTAAAATTCTCACGCGAATCTTGAATGGCTCCCTTGAACGTCGCTCGCCCGGCCAATTGCCCAGTCGACTCAACCGCCTCGTTCTTACGTATCGCGGTAGCCGCACTTTCCTTTGAATGTGATATTAATAAATCAGTGACACGGTGTGCCGTATATATACGGCTCAACCAGCCGAGTCGAGTTTCAATGAATGTATTCTTCTTTTTTTTTTTTCCTCCCCTCTCCGCGCGATAAATCCTTTGTAAATCAACTTATTGGCAAGAATTTCCGAGTCTCGGGTCGCGGTGAGTAAATACCATTACGGAAAGTTCTCCCGAAAGTGCGTATATAGATGCAGGGCCACATAGGGACTCCCTCGAGTCTCCACGGGGCTTCCATAAAAGTCAAGCCGACCGAAATAATCAAAACTAATTTCGCCGCGTTGGCCGATACAACGGAGGGCCCGAGCTCCGTCGTAAACCAACCTCCCCTTCCACCAAGGAAACGCGACCGAGCCAAATGGATTCTTTGTATATACATACACCTACACCCGTGTGGGGATAAACAATATAAAACAAAAAGGCTACCCTCCCGTTTACCTGCGACGATGAAAAACAATACCATTTCGTCTCGTTACACAATTACTTTTGCTTTTCCACCGCATTGAAGCACGCAAGACGAAATAAAGATAAAGAGAGAGAGAGAGAGATTCCATTAAACATTTCCGACTGTAACGGTACATCAGCGTGTGTAATGTACATTGCCAGTACACAGACGCCGAGGCTGTATGGCAGCCCTCCTTCGATAAGTGGGGTGGAAGAATAGCGATACGGAGACTGTGGAAAAGGGGGGGGGGCATCGGTAGTAATTTTCGAGATCGAAACGATCGCAGAAGCTGTACGTATATATATATATATAGGGGGGGTAAAGGCATTGCAGTTGATGGCTATACACAGCCGATGCGGCGTTTCCCCACAGGAGGCATTTCACGTTTCTCGTCCCGAATACATCTATACCCGCGTGCGTTTCCAAGTCGTTCGGGCGTGCCGATAGTATATATATATATATAT